CCAAGTGCTGCGCCTGCCACGAAATCTGCACTTCGAGGTTCACCAAGAGCTGCACCTGCCACGAAATCTGCACATCGAGGGTCACAGAGTGCTGTGCCTGCCACGAAATCTGCAAACGAGCCACATGTCCAAAAGTCACAATTCACTGCACCTGTCACGCAATCTGAGCTCCTTGACGATCACCACCATGTCCAAAGTGCTGCACCTGCCACGAAAACTGCATTTCGAAGTAAAACAACTCCGATCCCTTGCACCTGTCACGAAAAGTCGACTTTGGAGCACCAAAACAAGAGGTTCCCTTGCACCTGTCACGAAAAGTGACCACCATGTACCGAAATGCGCACGGCACCACAACGAGAGCGCAGTCGCTAGACACACCCGCCGCGGCCACCCAGATTCTGCGAGCCTGCGCAGTCGAAGTGCACATGGACGATGTCGAGAGGCATGAATGTACTGTAAATAGCAACGAATTGGCCGGACACGCCCGCGCGGAACAGCGATCTAAGCACACCTTCCTTTCCCCTACCGTAAGAACCCCTGTTTGGGGAACTTAAACATGCGCCTCACCTCATGCACCTGAAGCCCTATATAACTCTTTGAACTAGGATACTTTTTGAGCTTTTGGAAGTCCACTGCGAGGTCTTCGACTCTTCCAAGTCATCTGGATCAAAGTCCAAGGAGTGCAAGGATTGGTCGATGTCACGGCTCGTGACTTTTCCAGAGGACAAGGTATCATCCTGCCCAGTAAACCTGCCATCGAACTTCAGCGTCCGCTTCGACCAGTCGTACTTCTGGCCATAGTCCAGCATTAGCCTTGCAATGATCGAAAGCAGCGCTCGATTGTCCCACTATGTAAAACTAGCTTGCGGGATCTGTCGTGCATGTCGTTTGGAATTGCCACAGGACACTTGAACGACCTTCAAGCAGCCACTGGCATGTCAGCCAAGGAGCTCAGGAGGCACCTTCCATTTATCAACCAGATCGGTGCGACCTTCTGCGCGTGCCTTCTTCTCAGCCAGGCGCAAGGCTTTGTCAAACCTCAATTTCCAAAGAAAGACCGATGCTGAAACTGCCCAGACTCCAGGCAAAAGCTGGAAGACTATATAACTCTTGCGAGTGTCAGTTTACAAGTGTGAGGTGGGTGCTAGCTGATAGAGCGCCAATGCAGCTGGAAGGCTCAGTCAAGCTAATGTCTCCACTCCTATCGGTGTCCAGACTTGCAACCACTTCCTCCAGCTCAGAATCCCTCAGCTTGTGTACGCCCAACCTGCCAGGAAAAAAACGGAAAATAACCAGTTGGCAGATAATGGAAGCATCGTGTGCAACAATTCCTCAGCATCTCTCGGCCGAGGGCGTCTCCTTTGGGCGAAAGCGGGGCTGTTGAAATGGTCGTCTCCTTTGTGAAAGCCCCACAGCCTGTGTAAGCCTCGTGCCAGCTCTTCAGGAGACACGCCTCCGTTTCCATTGGTATCCAGAAACCTTGGTGCTACTGCCCCACCACAAGGCTTTGGGACCATTGTTTTGCACTACTCACTACCAAGCAAGATCACAAATCTGTACCCATACAGATCCACTCCAATGCAAAACCTTTCCACAGCAGGCTGACACGTATAACATACATTCACTTAGACAATGCTGGTTGCCAGCCAGCTGCCTAAAGATTTCCACGGAACGGATTTTCCTGCAGGCAGCACCAGTTGAAACCGATTCAATAACAAGCCACAAAGCGTGGCAAAGCGCTGTGCAAAAGAGAAAGGGAATGCCAACTCAATGCCAACTGGTAGCAGTACCAATGCACTTGGCTACTAGTAGCTTCTTGCTACTAGTAGCGATGCACCTTGTTATATACTAGTAGCTTCTTCAGTGGGCACCTCCGATTGAGCACACCTTTGATGTTTGCCATGACAAAGTCGCTTCTGGTCATTGGCTCCAATTGCACCGGTCTTCTGCGGTGGCTGTTCATTCGTCCTCAGGTGTGAGCGAAGCATCTGCTGCCCCAAGCGAAGCATTCCAAACAGTTTTTGCAGTTCATTCCCGTCGAACGCAAGATATTGCAAGTCAGCATCTTTCACGCTCTGTCAGGCAGCCGTGCTTGTCTTCGCCTCATAGAAACCATAGGAAACCTCTTGAGAATCTTGTCAAAAGTCAGCAGCAAACATCCAACGCAGTTGAGCCGCTGGGCAGCCAGTCGCCCACCCTGGCGGTGCCATCACCGGCCTCTGATATCGCATCTCGGTCCTGCGTGTCCGGTCGCTGTGCCAAGGGCTGGCCTGCGGATACCTTCCCATGTGCTTGCAATGTAGGTAGTATGTGAAAGTAGTCACATGCTTTTGGCTCCTTCCACATGACCGAGACTTGCCTGAATCAGGGTGCTCAATTGTTAAAAAGCAACTCTAGCTGTAGCCTCTTGCCTGGAAAGAAAAATTCAAAAGTTTTAAGAGAGACAAGGTACAGCAAACGCTCGCGACGCAACAACAATGCAAAAAAATCCCTTGCAAACCCTTCACAAGCCCCCCGTTGTTGATGGCAAGTATTGCACTCATCCGAAGAAACCAGGGAGGTGCTGCTGCCAAGCTGCGTACGAACTTGCTTTGAGGAAGTGCGGTTCAGTCTGGCCTCAAGGTGCTTCAGCATGATCCTGCCTTCGTTGTCCTTGCAACCACTAAATTCGTAATCAAAGGGAAAAATGTTGAAGTATGCTTGGTGCTGTCGGCAAGTTCTTCTGTCCTGTCACTTTCATCTCAGATCCCGAAAAATGCGGCGCTCCGATGCACTCCTTGTCCAGCACGTTCACCAGGGAGTCGAAGCGTTCATCTGCAAGATCAAGACCCAAATCTGAGAGGGCGTTTCGAAAAGCAGTAGCATCGCAGGTGCCCTGGTCCTGTGACTGGTGGCGGCTGAGCAAGGGAAGCAGTAGCAGCCGAAGCGCTTGCAATCAAGTAAATCACAAGAGCCGTGCCAATTCTCCCTATAGCAAAGTGCACCAACAGCTTCGAGTCTGTGCAAAAAAGTGTCCACAAAGTATACACTGTGAAGAGTATGCACATTCAAGCCTTGAATCATGAAGCTTCACCGTTGCTTGCGCATAGGGTGCTACTAGTAGCTCCTGGCCTTACTACTAGTAACAAGAAGCTACTAGCAACAAGGGCATCGCTACTAGTAACAAAGGGCATTACTACTAGTAACAAAGGGCATTACTATGAGGAGCAAAGAACGCTACTTCCTGGGCCCTTCAGGCCTTGCTTGAGCTTTTGGCTTGAATCTCCAGCAGTTCAAAGGGGGAGCATCAGGTCAGCTTGTAGTCTTGACACGAGTCGTTCGACCACACTGCCCTATAATTTCTGGAAGGTGCGAATCAGGTGTTCTTGTTGCCGTATCGAGCAGTTGGATCAGAGTTGGCATCACTGTTTTGGGCAAGGTGAAGGAACTATAGTGCCAGAATTCATTTCGCATGCTGCACTGCTCCTTCTTTGGCATTGTGCTTGCCGGACTCAGGTGATTGCAAACCCCGCCGCAGCCTCTCTATGCGGACAGTGTCGTCGTTCAGTACAATGGCAATCCTCTTTGTGCAGAATGCAACACGTGTATGGCTTGGATTTCAATGCTAATGGAAAAGGAATGGAGTCTGGTATGCCGCGAAGCTGAAGAACGCACTTCATGGTTTTTCTGGCAACTTTGAATCGGCGGGCCAGGTAGTCATCTCAGAAGCAGAAGCAACAGCCTCTACAGGACCCAAAGAAGCAGCCATTTTAGTGATCTATTGGAAAAATATGTTCTAAAAAATGTATGTAGCGCTTGTGATAAAGTGGCACCACTCCTGAAGAAGCAGGCATTTGAGGACTATAGTGACGGACAGACACTTAGAACATCACTGTGAAATGTTGGGAACAAAATAGTTGGCCGGTGATGTTCTAAGTATGACCCTGAACGTCACTTAGAACATATCTCAACCCCACACTTAGAACAACACCTTAGGACTACCCACATGTTTTCATAGTTATGGTTCCTGGATGTTCTAAGTTTTTGTCTGTCCCAGGGGTATCTATTTATATATAAATATATATATATATAAGATAATGCAGGGGATCAAGTTTTGGACCACCGCAGCCAAATTTTGGCTCAACTTCCACACAACCCCCGCCGATGACTAAGACACTTGGATGCACAAATTGGAAGACAAGTGTCAGATTTGGTTGCAGGCATAGGGTGATCCATCTTGAGTTGACGTGGTTTGCATGATGCTGCCCGCGGCCGGCTGCATCATTAGCATTTTTTGGTCTGAAAAACAGATATATTAAATATATCTGGCTTTTTAAGTGAAAAAGGGCTGGATGTTCTAAGTGAGATGTGTTGCAACTAGCTTCCAGCATGGGCAATGCTATCTTGATCAATTGGATGGTCACTTAGGGACGATCTTTCTGCTGCCCATGTGCAGGAGATGTAGCTATAAACATCAATGTACAACTGCAGGAGGGAACTCCACACTTAGAACATTGCTGCTCGAGAAGTGTGTGTGCGACAGCCTCATACTCACCAAAAGGGTGGGGCATTTCAACACGCTTGCAGGCTTACTTCCGGAAGATACCTAGGATTAGTTGAAGAAAGAAGAAAAGGTGCGTTGTGTGATGCTCGAGTTTAATCTTTGTTGGAAGCAGCAAGCAAAATACATTCTTGCAGCAGACCTTAGGGCATTATAATGTAAATGTTCAGAGACATATACAATGTTCTAAGTATTCCTGTTCTAAGTGTGGTTTTCTTTTGATGTTCTAAGTGTCTCCGAAACACTTTGAAATGTGTTCATGTTCTAAGTGTCTGTCCGTCACTATACTAACTAGTGACTACTTCTTTGAGGGAGGCAAGCGAAAACCGCATCAAAGCATCCAACACTACTTGAGAATAAGTTGCAACAAGCTTTCTCTTGCAGGGGGCAGTGGAGATGCAGCTCAACGGCGAAGTATTCTCAGACAAGCCAGAAATGAATAGGATTGGAACCAGATTGTTAAAGCGATGTTGGTACAGCTGGACTCGTCGGAAAAGCTTCAGCATAAAAGGTAGTGCCTCAAGCATTGGGAAAAGAATTGTCCTTTCCTGTTGAAGAAGCATTGCACAAACCAATGAAAACAATAAATATATAATGACTCAGAAATAGATGCCGTAGAAGGGTGGCATGAGGATGGGGCTACTGCCTATCCCTATCTTTGACACCGAGCCAGACATTCACGGAGAGCTTGAGGAATTTGAGCATACCACAAACGTGGAAGAAACGAACTACGATGAACTGGGGGTATGTGTTTGGGATGGACAAAAGACTTATCGGCGGGCGTACGAGGAAAGCCCTTTCCTAAACATGGAAACAAATCAAGGTCATCCAAGAAGACACCAAAGCTTCGGGCTGATCTTGACAAAAAAGCCACTCAGAGAGCATCCGAGACCGTTCTGTGCGGGTTGACCTGGCCCCTAAGGCCCTTAGGGATAGGAATAACTGGTCTGTGAGTGGGCTGTTGCATCGAAACGGCTCCACAGCCATGTCCGGGTGCATCAGCTCGGGTACAAGCGTTGCTTTGAAGGTTTCAAGCAGAGTTCTACCAAAGCTGCATCATTATATATATGTTTTTTTGCCCTCTTGTGGGCATACTATTCATACTATTCGGCAAAATCTTGGCCGCCTAGAGCAGAAGCGGCCATTCCGAACTCCTCACGCATATGCTGGGATGCAGCTTCATCCAATACGGATGATGACAAGAAGCAAGGCCGTTGGTATCCTAGCCTGTTCAAAGGAAACCCATATTAGTGCCGGACCAAGTAGTGATGTTTGATGATGTTTGATTTTGGAGGGCGGTTCCTATCGGCTAATAGGTTGTTTGATGGCCAGCATGGTCATTCTTCGGGTATTCTTCCTGGTGGTTCCGCAAAGCCTTTCATGTGGTTTCTCAATGTCCCTGTCTTTTGTGAACTGTATATGCTTATATAGTTCTGTCGGTGCCTCACTATGCTGCACACAGATGCCTGTAGGTATGCCCATACACAATGGCCATAAGGTTGACACATTGTAAAGGGGGCTATCCATCGCCAAGCTGCATCCACTTGGAACTTCCGGATCAGCTCTGCTGCACCTCAGGTGAATTAAAGGTGCTCCAAGCTGATTCAATCTGTCAGGTGCTGATTCAGGTGCTGCAAGACAGCTGAAACCACTGGAAATGCAATCCGACCATGTCTTTGAAGCACTCATAGGGCCCCAAGGCCAACTCCAATACCTAACAACAACAACAAATGCTACTTTGTCTCAGGTCCATCCTTCCATCTCAGTTTGGACCAAGTGCATTGTCTGAAAGTAAGGAATGTCAGGAATATCCAAGCGGGATTCTCAGCAAGAACACCCAAATGAACACAAAATCCTTGAACCCAAGACCTCCGGGAGTCGCTCTTCAATAAGACAAGAGTCCGATCTGTGTGCGGTTCAGCGTCTCCCGGAGGCTCTGCAAAACTTCATGCGCCGACTCATCCTACCAAGGATACGGATCGGGGAGTGCAGCTTGGTGAAACCATAACGCCTCTAGTGCATGTTTGAGGAATACTGGCATGCAAGATAACTGACAACATATCATAACACCAACTCCAAACTTCCACCGCTGGTGGCTTTCGATGACTTTATGCACATGGCTGTGCTCATGTTTCCTAGCTTGGGAGAGTCGGAGTAGTGCTGGATGAGTCCTCCATAGCGACCACTGAGCGTCAAACTGTCAAACCGGAAAAGGTCTGAGCCAAAACAACGCGATGATACATCCCTTGATCAATCAGTTACGTTTGCAGTGACAACTTTGATGCAGTAACAGTAACAGTCATGTCATGATATGTCTGTCTGTCTGACAAGATGGGCTTTTCTGTATGACTTGGATATGGCGAACTCTGAATGAGGCTTGCCACAAAACTCGACTCAAGCTATGCAGACTCGAGGGGAAAAACGTTACCAAAAACACATGGAGCTATATTACATAGTTCTGATTTTGCACCAGGTTAAACTTAAACCTGCGTAAGAAAATCTTCTCTCCCATACGGGGTTCCATGATCATGTGGACTTTCGGCCCACTCTTCCCAAGGGCCACACAAAGCCATCCGGCATCAAGGTCTGCGGATACGCCACCGGAGCTGCCATTGGGAAGCCCGGCGCACAGCCCATCATGGGCAGTGCGGCCACACCTGTCGTTGCCCCAACCACAGGAGTGGGAAGAAGGAGGGACACAAAGCCAAAGCTTTGGTTGGTGCGGTTGGAAGAATGTGTGTGTATATATATATATGCTAAATTGATCTAAATTGGTTATTAATTTACCAAAACATTTTTGGTGGCGTTCTTCCTGATAGGCTGCCCTTTGGTCTTTTAGGAGGTATGGCTTGGAGCCATGAAGCCACAGCAATTCAACCCCCAAACTTTGGCTTTTCCCGAAAGGACCCTAAATAGTAGCGCCCTCTTGTTACTAGTAAGGCCAGGAGCCCCTACCAGCGTCCTTGCTACTAGTAGCGATGCCCGGATTCCTAGTAGCGATGCCAAGAGCTACTAGTAGTTCTTACCGCTAGGAACAGGAAGTCTACATTCTACATGCAAACTTGGAGCAAACATAGCAACACATGCACAATTCTTCTGCCTGCATCGAAGTACGGCACTCTGAAACTGATTCGTGCCGAATCGGTTGAGACTGATTCGTGCATGCGTAATCCTCCGCAGCATCAATGTATTGCTGTGTGGCGCTCGAGCTTTTGCGCTTGGGCTTCTTCGGTGCTAAGAGCATCAGGTGCCCTTGGCCTAATTACATTGAAGTTCTTCAAGCTTGCAGGTTGTCATGTTGTGAACCATGCGTTGGTGCTATCAGTTGAAGTTATGGTTTTGGCCTTTTCGGTTGCCATCCGTTGCCGGTGCCCTTGAAGTTTCTGGACTTCATCGTCCCTTTCTTGGGATATGCATAGGTGCCAGGGTCCAAAGAAGGGCCGCTCCGGGCAAAGCAGTCTGTCCATGTCCGTGTCCTTCAGACTTTACGGAAGATACGGTGCTGTATATTCAAAGCAACACCACCCGAGCTGCAACATGCCATTGAAAACAAAAGCAAGACAACGCTTCCCAGCGCTTCCCCGTTGTCGAATTCTCTTTCGTTAGCGTACAATATGCACGTCCTGCTTAGCGGAGGTTATATAACCCATGCCCTTTCCAGAGGTTTTGAGGGCGCACGTCATTTGCAGAGGTGTTATCATTTCTCTGCTATCTGTGTGCTTCTGCTTCTGTTGGTAATTATTTGTTGTCCATGTTCAGAAGGCCTTTGAGCTGCCAAAGGTTGATTTCGGGATGGCCGTTCTTCAGCCTCCGTTTCTCGGTGGCGGCAACTATATAACACAATCAATTTGTTAATAGTAATTAGCAAATTAGCTACTAATAGCCATGCCCTTGTTACTAGCCGCAACTAGTAGCTTCTTCTGACTTATAACAAGAATCAATGTGTTCAAATTATTTACAAAACCTGTCGCTGTGACATGACGGGGCCATTCGTGGCAAGCTCACGAAGCACCAAGTTCACACCATCACGAGTGTCCATTCAAGTGAAACGCCCAGGAAGGAATGCAAGCGTAACCAACTGCATCAGCCCTGTCACAGCGGGTCTGCATGTGTCTCAAGACTCACGACAATGAGGTGGATGCGGATGTTCGGGTCAGGTTCGCCTGGCATGAAGCCACTGCATGTGCTGCCACCTCACGGGGTGTTTCAATGCGGGCAGGATTGATGCCGCGGATGCGAGAAGACCGACCCGTGCAGTTTGGTGGATGCCGAAAACACCGAGTCATTTGGGCTCAAACGGAGTCTGTGCGACACCGAAACCAAGGGCTCCGTCCTTCTGAGCCATCGAATTGGTGCTATGTGCAGATCAGATCACCAATTCTAGGCATACAGCGCATTAGTAAAAGCTACGGTTTGGCACCAAAATCCTCTTTGCAGAGTCTAGGTGGTTTGGCACATCTGCCATCATCTGCCAGTGTGCCTATGCCAAAGCTGCCGCAGGCAGCCAGCTCACCTGAGAAAAAGGATGCGGGCCACGGGCAGAGCTGTGTTCGAAAATTTCGACAGGTATCTGCTGGGGCAGCCACAGCCGCAGCCGCAGGGACAGCCACAGGCACAGCCGCAGGGATTGCATGGGCAGCCGCACCCACAGCAACCACCGCACAGGGCAGCACTCAAGTCAGCACCTGGGCAAAAATACCATCGGCCGCGGAAGAATTATAGCAAACATGCCAACTCTGAGACACACACAGCCACCAGCGGGCAAACCACCTCTGCCTCCTGCGGGGCACTCTGAGGCCAAATAGGGACTCTATCGCCTCTATCGCAACGTTGCCAGTGTCTCCGTCCTCCTTTAGATCCAGGCCTCGTGCAACAAGTTGAAAAAACTCCCATGCCAAACGAATCCAAACTACTTGGCAAGTTTTGCGAGAAGGAATGCATGTTGCATGTTGTCATAAGTATCTCCTTGTGCGGATTTGCTACATAAATACAATTCCGATTACTTCCACATATGCAATCGTGTGCAGTGTATTCTATCCTCAAACGAGCACTAACTAGGGTGGAAACGCAGGGCGGTCAAACGCTGGAGCAGCGATCACTATCTGCCCAGGCCTGAGTTCAAAACAGAAGCATTGAATGGCAATCACATCCTACACCTAACAAACACATTGAACACACTGCCAATGTTCAATTGGCAATAACATCGCCCTTGGTTAGCTGTAGCGGTTCCAAGAGTGGATGCGCATGGATCTTCATCAACACACTTAACTCCAAAGACTGTGACATTCTGCGTCTGGGTCGAGGGCTTCACTTCGTGTTGCCCATCGGCTACTACTGAGGAAGCCTGGGTCGGTGACTTGCAGTGTGGCGCGAGAAACCCGCAACACATGCGAGGCGAGGGACAAGAGGTGGGAGAGACAATAGGTTGATCCAACATTCCACGAGACATGTGGAAAACCGTTGTTTGAAAACAGGGAACATAGACCAAAAACCATGAGGGTCAAAAGATCCAGCAAGTTTGCGGGGTTGATGGGGCTAATGGTGAATCCACTACGATCGATTTGGAGGGGATTCCAACATAATTTGAAACGCCATTGTGCAATTTTTACAACATTGCCTTTTAAACAACCAATATCCAAGCAAAATGTATGTCCCATAGACGACGCACTTAGATAATTTTTGCCCGTGCCCGATTTGTATGTTCAAGTGACTGCGCATAGTTTCGGTCCCACGAACCCATTCAATACAGCACGCCGACAGGCTCGCACCAAGTTAGGTGTTTATTCACGTGCGCAATCTACATTCGGCCAAAGAATGAAAATCATCTACAAGTGGCAACACACCAAAGACATAGATACAGTATAAATATATATATATATACATATCGCATCTCAAGGGCGAACTCACATTTGGTACGTAAACGAAAACTAAAAATATACAGTTGTCAGTTAATCCAAAGTACCGCACAACCTCAACGGTACAGGGCTAATATGCAACCAAAGCTAAGCGCACGCTCCTTTTCTTCAGCGCTTGAGCCAAATGTACAAGGTGCATAAGCAAAATGAGACAATGGAACATGACACGTATGAGCTATACATGAGAAGGGTAGGATTCCCTGTGATTTCTCAACCCCCCCCTCGAGTAAAGTGTCATATGCATCAACCAACACGGAAGTAGGTACTTGTATTACCACATGAGTCATGGTTGTTTTGCAACCGTCCTGTTGGAAACAACTATGTGACATATTCTCGAGCTTGTAGCTGACAGAGGGCCTCAGGCCATTGAGCCGGTGGCAAGATCTTCGTAAGAGGATTCGCCAGCTGATCCTGCGTGTTGCAGTAAGTCAAGCTGATCTGCTGTTCCTCCTCAGTAATGACAGATGAGACCGAAGCTACATTGACTCGATGTACACGTCCACAGTGACGCAGCTTTACGCTGTATTGATTTCCAACTATTTTTATCACTGCTTGATTGTCCTGCTGGAAGGACACACAAGGTCGCTCGCCCAAGAGGTAATGCAGCTTATCCTGAATCTGCAGAACTTCTCCAAAGAGTGCTGAGCTCATGGCGATAAGCTCTGCTTCAGAGGCTGAACGAGCAATGCTAGATTGCTTCTTGCTTTGCCAGTAAACTGGCCACTTGGCATCTCCCGTCACGAGGCAAGTCACAATGCCAGTGGTTGACTTTGCAGACCACGGACAACTTGCAAAGTCGGCGTCTGTGTAGACATGCATCTCTGGCTTGCAGTTATATTGCGCAGATGCTACAGTTACAAACTCCGATGTATAACGCAAGTATGAAATGACTCTCAACAACTGCCGGTCGCCCCATCTCGACCACCTGGAAGCATTCGAAGCCAGTCGCCCTATGATGAAACTCAAATCCGGTCTTGAAAGACGGGAAAGCCACAGCAAGCGCATCAGCACCTTGGATGCTTGACTGTGAAGGCTTCCTTGTTCTTCTGCTTCTTGATCAGTCATCGAACTTTCAGGCAGAGCGGGTGATGACACTCGCTTCAGAGATGTTGCCTCAATTCCACAAAGGCCACAATAGAACTCAACAATGCCGGTGGCATACGATCGCATGTCAAGATCTAGAGTTGCTCCATTTTGAGTCTTGTTGAGGCGGTGCTGACGCCCGAGTATCCTGATCCCATCAGAAGAAAGGTACACTTCAGGTTCAATTTTTATCATTGTGCGAAGCTCTCTCCAAAATTCTTCATGCA